TCGCTCGAGCTTGAGTTCTTAATCACAGGATACGGGTGCTTCGGAGATGGGAGTGGAACACACTTCGGGGTAAATAAATCCGGGATCTCCAGAACGTTGTGGATTGCAGTTTTAATTTAAAATTTCATTAATGATGAATATTGACATTATTCTCCAAGCTAGCCGCTCCGTCCGCCGACTAGCTACCACTAGTCTTAAACACTTCTCTCCTCTCTATCTACCTTCCAACTACTGTCCTCCTCCGCTCCCTATAACCGACTCCCCTCTTTACAAGTCCCCCAGTTGGCATCAGAAAAACAAGAAAATAACAAGAGAAATCCAAGGGTCGAGCCCGACATCTGGCCTACATTCGTATTTTTCGAGATGCCCATAAACCTCTGTAGGTCTTCAAGGAATCCAAGACCCCTCCTGGCCGGTCTCGCACATGGTCAGTTCATGGGTTTATGATATACTGGGAGTAAACAGGCGACGTTAGGGACAGTAGTGGCACCCTTAGCCTAAGGAGGACATAGCAGAATTACAACTAGATGGTCCCGGGATGGTATCTCGCCGATGGAGCGTCTCTCACGGTATTAAACAATGCATAAGTAGTTCATACCCTTAATTATATAATTTTGACGAGGGATGTACGGTTACAACACATTTGAAAAATCAAAAGGCATAAATTCATATACAGAATAAAAGGAATGTTTCAGCAAAAAAGATTTTAACTCCTTTTTAAATGAGTTAAAATTTTCCCCTTGTTTTACTTGATCGGGGACATTATACAGACTAATTCCCATATTTATCACATTCCTCTTAAAAAGAGCTGTATTACAGTGCTGTACATGAAAATTTAATTTTCCTCGTGTGTTATAATTATGAATGTCTGAATTTATTGCCATAAAAGCCTTTTATTTATTGATAAAGCATGTCACCTCATGTCTCATACAGAGAAGACAATGTTAAAACATTGTAATCTTTAAAAATTTGTCTACATGACGTGTGACTACTAATACCACTAATCACTTGAAGAACCCGCTTTTGTAATTTAAAAATGCTTTTACTTTCCCCATCCCCACCCCACAATAAGATACCATTTCTTATACATGACTCAAAATTCGAAAAAAGAATTTTTATATATGGACTCATTATTTCTTTTAATTGGACACTGGGTTTAGAAGAGGAAAATTTCTTGCCCTTGCTGGGGATCGACTCCCGATTTCTCAGTAATCCAGCCGGTAGTGCATTCAGTACCGACTGAGATATACCAGCTCCTTGTTAAAATATAATCAACAATATTATGCAAAGTAAAAAAAATGGCTTGATTAAGGTGAAGTATTAACAGAATTACTCATAAACCTGCAGATTACATTCCTTTCACTGGCAAATTCTGTCATTCCTGTAAATTGTTGTGGACAACATAAGAAAGTTTTCAACAAATTCAGACAGACAAAGCATAAACACAACAAAAATATGGCCTGTATATGTTCACTAGGTATGAGAAAGAAGTATTCTTATATGGTGGAATAATTTATTCTGTAATGTTGGATCTTCCTTCCTTTCCCTTGGTACTACAACTCAGGGTGAGCTTTGGCTTCCTGAACAGTCTGCCTCCATTCTTCTCAATTCTTCATTCTGAGGCTGATTATCTGTTTTTTTTTTAAGAATTTAGTTTTTATGGTCTGAGGTTGTTAGCCTTGGAGGACCAAGGTGTCCCTCTTTGTCTGGCTACTACCCCTGCATGGAGGACACTACTTCCAGCATAGTTCTTAGGGTCACAGAAATACTCGAACCCCACAACCACAATAGGCGAAACACCTTGAATCTACCACTAAAAATTTATAAATCGTGATATTGAAGTATTTGAAGCTCGCTTTATAATATGATATTTTATCTCACTTCTGCTTAGTAGAAAAATTTACTTTTACTGAAAATTCTTAAGTATTATAAATACTTTTGAATAAAATAATTCTTTTCCAAATTACTTCACTTTGAAAATCGTAATATGACCTGACAACAAGGTGATAGATTTTTCGAAATTTGGTATGGGGGAATTTCAACAAAATTGGTTGACAGATTTCAGTTTTTGGTTAAAACTGTTCAACCATGAACATTACTGGCATTTCTATATGGATCTCAAGTAAACCACTCAGAATATTTATTATAGTGAAACGTGTTGTGAACAGAAGTAGAGAGCAGTGAGACACGTATTTTAAGCCTAATGTATGTTATCTCAAAGTTTTCCAGGTTTTCAAGATATTTTTTAAAACAGTCTTTATGCTGTCTAGATGCACTAACAGAGTGCCCGAATTGTTATGCTATGCAAACGTTTCCTAACTTGTTTTGTTTCATTCCCCATTGGTGTGTAGTGTAGAGTTACTTTCATCCTTTCTTCCCTAATGTTGTGTGTTGTTTGCTGTGGATTGATTCTTAGAAGAACAGTGAGACTTAAGACTGTAGCCAGTGTCTTAGGGTTAGGATGAAGCCATTAGCTTGTGAGGAATATTTTTGATATTTTATTGATTGGAATAATTTATTGAGTTTGAAGTGCTGCAGGTTAGTAAGAATAAACATACTGTTTATTTGAATGTACAATGGCAGGCCTGTACACATTTCCTTCAACTTAGGAGCCGAGTCCAAGAACTGTGAGCTGGAATGAGAAACCAAAATACATTTGGTGAGGATTGTGCTCATGTGTATTAAAAAAAGAAAATGGATATATCTTCATATAAATAATAGTTGTTTTTGTGCTCTGGGAAGACTCAACTCACTGTTTCTAGGATATGGAAGGGGAATGACAGTAGAATGGACAAATAAAGGAGATGAGAAAGGGATGTGAGAGAAAAGAGGTAAAGGAATTGAAGAACAGGGATAAGGGAACTGTCTTAACAAGAAGGTGAGTGAAAAAGGAAGGGAGGAGAGCAGTGTTGATGGGATGAACAAATAAATGGAGATATTGAACAAAAGAGACAAGGAGAGGGAAGGAAGAAATTATTTTGTCTGTTGCCTTTGAGTGGTGGCATGCTGATGTAATAGGAAGAAAATTCTCTATGTTGTTGTGAAAATTGTAATTGCCATGGTAACCTGGCTGATGAGAGTTATGTAGGCCTGCATGAGCAAATAGGCTTAATTCAATTCGTCAAAAATATTAATTTATGTGATTTATACAGGGAATATTTTTACTCTATGGACTGGGTCCATGGCTCTGCACTTCCTGGCAGCTGGTACTATGACTGCTGCGAGGTTCATATGAATTTTGCCAATGAATCAGCATTCCTGACGGCCGATAACTTTCAGAATGAAGTAATTACAATTCACAGATCACAGGAGGTGTTTAAAATGCTGACCTCTTTACACATAAATATGTTTTGCAATTAATTGTTTTGTTGAAGAACACAGGTATAACGATCCTTGCACTTGCAACACACCAGACACCAACTTTCACTGGATGGCTTCAGCAATTGTGTTGCCGTTCTTGCACTAGATTTTGACACTATAGTCTCTTGAGCTAGACGTTTCAGTGATTTTCTGTGTGTATGTTTCAGTCTGGCCCCTGTATCATCTATCTTCTTCTCACTAAGTACTTGGCACTCATGTTTTTTGTTTCTTGTATATTAAGAGTCCTGTTCTAAATTTATTCACCAAATTATGAATTGTTTGTCTGCTGGGAGCTGTTTCATCATGAAATCTATGTCAAAATTTTCACCAACACATTCTAGCAGATCTGTATTTCACATAGGTGTCATACAGAAATACATGTTGCTCTAAAGTATACCGCCCCAAGATGTACCACACTGTTCACTAACTATAACAGAACAAATGGCTAATGGAGCTGATAACTGCTGCCTACTACTGTCAAATCATAAAGACTCCCTTGCATGAACCAAGAACCACACTGCTCGCCTTGTAACACAATACCATCAATTGGCCTACACATTAATTACTACTCTTCATTCCAAATGTTATTGGCCATCAGGCATACTGATTCATTGACAGAATTCATGTGTACCTTGCAGCAAGTGACGCCTTGGCTACTGTGAAACGCAGAGCCATGGATCTGGCCCACATAGTAAAAATATTCCGTGCCTAACAAGCCAGGATGCCATGTTATATCAGAGGCTTTTTCGAGATCCAAGAATACCGCCACTGTAGAGCTATTATTATTGAAATTTAATGTCATGTGGTCCATAAGCCTCATTCATTGCAATGTCATGCAATGCCATGCATGGAAGCCAAACTGACTTGCATTAAGCAAGACTCTTACCTCAGTGTGTCTTCATATGATTTTTTAGAATGACATTTTCGAAAAGTTAGCCTTTAGTGGCAGGCTCATCGGATGTAAATCTTGAGGAAATTTTGGGTCCGTACCCAGTTTCGTTAAGGTTATGATTTTTGTGTCCTTCCAAGAGTTTGGAAAATGCGTCCTCCAATGGCAGTGATAAAATAAATGTGTCAAAGGTACAAATGGTACCTGAGGCATTAATTTGAAATTCCATTAGTTCCACAGGCCTTTCCCAGTTTCAGTGATGTTATTAATTTCTGTATATCACAGATTTTTACTTTTCCAAGGTGGTGTCATATGCAGCTTCAAGCAGTACTTGGACTCTAGCATCCACCTACCATTAATGGTTTTCATCACACAAGTAATGCTGTATGAATTGATTTTCTAATCAGTCTGCATTCGTGGTGACTTTATCTAGATGTTGATATTTAAGGCCCAAAGGGTCATGAATAGCTATTGGTGCCTTTGGTCCATTTATCTTTATTATTGACTTCTCAATAGAACATGTAACCTGACCTCATTTTCCTGTTTTGATTTCCCACTGTTCAAGTGGGACCATTTTTCTGAAGGTTTTCTTGACTTCAGTGACTGCACTTTACACTCTGGATCCTGGCTTTCTTGCTACAGTTTTCATAGTCTCTGCTCGTGTTTTAACATTATAATACTGGAAGGTTGTGGTTGTTCATGTCCGAAAGCATAACTTCACTTGTCAACAGCCTATATGCCAAAGCTAGAGAGGCTGTAAAGTCATGTGCTTCTTTATCGGATTCTTTCTCCAAGTTAATTTTGATTCTAGGCAATATTAAATCAAAAGAAAGTCTTTGTACCCATTCTAAGTCTGAATTTTTCAAATTGTTCCAGAAGGTTGTTAGTTTTAATGTAATCCAGTATGCAGAATTCTCTTGGTAAGTGATCTGAGTCCAGGATATCACAGTCACACCTGAGAGTTTCATATTCTGATGGACCACAGTGTTGAGTTTGTTGCAATTTCCCACAAGAGAGTGAAGATTGGGGCATTATGGTGCTGAAATTTTGAATTCATTTACATCAGATAAATTCAGAAGTTTCTCGTCTGAAGGGCATAAACTGCACTGTTCCAAAATGGATGTTTAGCATTCAGATCACCTGTCAATTTGGACTTATGTCTAAAGTTTAAGAGCTCAGTAATATCTGCATGAATCAAGGCATGACCTGGAGATTTATAAAGAGCTGCAAGTAATATTTCACTGTTTTCAGTCTGTGTGCAGAGCCCTGTGGTTCTACTGAAAGAAAGGGAGGCAAGGCTACATGGCTGTGGGGAATGCCTTTTATAACTGCAGTAGCAGTTCCACCGTTTCTGCCCAGGAAGCAGTCGGTCCAATAAATGTGTTAATTTAGAATAAAAAAAAAACTTTCATGAGGTTTCAGATGTATCTCTGAGAGCAGTGTCACTTCTGTGTGTAGGTGTTGCAGCTGCTTACTGAACTTATAGTGCTGCCTTGCAATGCTATTCGCATTGAATGCTATGGCCTTGAGGGCATATGAACTCTGTCAGCAATTCTGTTGCAGCTACTTTGAACATGTTGAGAGATGAACTGTTTACATTAGGAACCTTAACTGACTGACTTGATACTTATTGTTGGTTGTGCAGTAATGGAGAAGGGGTACTCATTTCTCCCACTGTGTCAGGGCAGGCCTGTGCAACCGACTGCGGCTAAGTCTGCTGCTGTTGTAGTCTTGGGCGCTCACTGCAACTTTCTCTTTCACATCTCTTTCCTGTCATGGCTGCAGCTTCGGTAGATGGAGAGATGAGATGAAGGGGGCAATGTTTGCTGGGGCTCTTCCTCCTGAAGGTGACTGATGGGTGATAGACATTTGTTTGATGCTAATATCAAAACCAAGGTTCAACTCACCTGAGAACACCTCCGGAGGAATTGTGGATGAAAGATGCCTTATCACATCCTTTATAGGCTTCCGGGATTTGGAACAGATGGTGAAGTATGGGAAGTTGTTGCTCTTGAATTGAGAGCGGATGGCTAAAAAATCCACTGCGTCTATCATGACAACTGTGGTTTCATTTCTTGTGTCATGTAATTTGTAGTTGTCATTCAGTAAGCTGTTCACTTGCCTTTGCAGTGGTGTCTGGTTTACTTGAGAGGTTAGTGCAACAGGCAGCTGCATACTCACCTGGCTGAATGGCACCAGATGTTGCTGATGCTCGGTGGAGTCATTTATGTCATCTCCATTGTCAGCTTCCATTTCAGTTGACCTCAGTGGGGCGAAGAATTTCTAAGTGGGAACGTCATGCTTCGACCACAATTGGTGGCTCATTGACTACCATGGTGGATGTAGGCTTCTTGTCTTTTTTGCCAGTGTCATCTGTAGGTATCACCTTTCATCTTCTTTACTCGTCTGAAGGAGGTTTAGTAATGGTGGTCTTGGCTGTTTCCCCTTTGGCTGTGCTCTCTTGGAGGACTGCTGTCAAGTCTGTGTACACTCCATACAGGGCGCTATACAGCTGCTTTCCTTTCAGAGGCTGGCGCAGTTTCCTCCTGGTGTCTGCTGTTTTGGACGATTAAGAGTCCATTTTTGACTTTCGCTGACTGATGCAAGGGTATGTCCCTCTAGGCAGACAGTGATAAATACCCCGCATACAGGTTCCATGGCAGTATCGACAGCAGGATATTGTGTGATGTCTTTGTATTGTAACCTCATGAATTCAATCAGGTTTGACCAGAGCTTCTGAAATTCTGGTGTGGGTGCGTTAGCTATGGTATGGCTTACTGCTCTTCTGTTACTATAACAGTTAATTATATACAAGAACCACACAGAGCACTCAGCAGCACAGGCTCTCAGTTAGGCTTGGGACTTCACTCATACTGCTTGCACCCAACAGTAGAAGGTCATGAATTCACTACATGCAGCTTATTTCGGTAACTTTATATAGACATTGTCCTCTGCTAGGTAACGGCTCAATAAACGTGTATCCACGGTAATGGATACCCACGCAACAGCAGAACTGTGGGAGATGGTGTTTTCAGTATGGTCTGCCACACACCCCTCTAGTTCCTTCCTCATCCTGCTCCTCAACTGCTCGACTCCAACTTGAAGTAACAGTCAAAGTTACTTTATGACTGGCTGTTTACCACCAGTTAGTTTGTCTTTGTGCTGAGCTCCTTGAGGATCATGGCTATAGGCGTTTTTACGTGAACTCTTGTGGACGTAGTCCTTATGCAACACCCTGTGTGATGTGAGGATGCATTTCTGTTTTATGAATATGGTTGTCCTTGTCAGGTGTACATGTTGCACATATAGCATGTTATTGAAACTTCTTGCTTTTGCACCATATTCAAGTCTTCAGTTCGTGTCAGACCAGGCTTTGCAAAGCAGATCATGCCTGTCCTACTTATCTTATGCTACAACCGCAGCTTAGCCACTTTATCAGTTGTAAGCTTACCACTGCCAAGTTGAAGCCTCTTATATTTTCTTTCTGGCCTTGCCTTGTCCTGTACTGCAAACATGTTCGGTCTCGTGATTTTTATGACTTCTGTTTTGCCTGCACAATTTTGTTATACAGGGCATTCAGTGATCAAGGAAACCTGACAGCAGCTCAGAGCAGACATAACATTTCTCACAGATTGCTGCTGTAACTGCTGATAGCAAAGTGTCATTAGTGCTCATAACGCATGCCGTCAGGTGGTCTGATCTTGTCACTGCAGTAAGTCGCATTACTAGTCAGTCTTTGTTATAGGTGTCAATAGGCGGTCGATATTCATACTAAAATGAAGTTCACTATTGAACATTGTGTGTTTATTGTCAAAACTTTTGCAAGGGAAAAAACTTACAAAAATGTATCCATAAGTTTTGTCATAAATATCCTGACTTGCCAGTTCCCACAAAGTCGTGCGTATCCAAACTTGTGAAAAAGTGGCTGGCCACAGGTTCAGTGTGTGATATAAAGAAGTAATCAAAGAGAATTGTGCTGACTGAAAAAAAGGTTCAGGATACTGAGGCGTGACCACAGATCAGTCCTCGAAAATCATTAAGATGCTTAGCACAGGAAACCAGTGTTTTGCTAGATCTGCTTTCACCAGCCACAAAATGAATCACATTTCTTCCATACAAAATAACATTTGTGCATGAGCTGAAACAACCAGATTATGCAGCAAGAATTCGTTTTTGCAACTGGCTGCTGTGAAATGTGCACTGCAGTGACAACCTCAGACCCCCTGATGGTGCGCGATTATCAGCGCTAATGACCCATTCTGCTATCAGCAGTTACAGAAGCAATATGTGAGAAATGTTGTGTCTGCTCTACACTGCTGCCAGTTCTAATCGATCATTGAATGAACTGTATAATTGTATATACAGTAGAACTTGGTTATAACATCATCAAAGGGACCTAAAAATAGTGTCGTTATAAACGAATGTCTTAACCGAAATGGGCACTTCCACAGTAGCCTTATGTTAGTCACGTAAAAATCTACCAAAAACCGAGTTAAAATGTTGCATTTTTTAGTGAAATACGTAGTTAAGTACAGACTAACGTAACATTAACGTGGAATTGCCCAAATGTGTAATATCAAAGACATATTACAGCGCTTTTCACTGACAATACACACCGCACTAATACTGTATATTAAAGGTAGGCCTACTCANATATGGAAGGTTGAAAGCCATGCACAAATTGTGGACTGGTGTGCACCTTGCAAAATTTCCAGTGGCGGAACCTTGTTTCGTAAAAGCTGCAATTTTAAGAGGTAGGTGTCTGCCGCTAATTTCCAGGCAGGGCAAGCATAAGTTGTTATTGATATGATCAGTGTGTTATGGAGGGTTAGTTTAATGTTTTCACTTAAATACTCACTTTTGAATAGGGAATAAATTCTAATAAATGTCCGCAGGGCTTGGCTTCTATCATTGCTGTGTGCAGTCTCCATGTAGTCCTCTTATTGAAGATTACACTGAGATATTTTACCTGATTTCTGTCAGTTAGTGTAAGATGAGCCTCAGGGGGCCTAAGTTTATGAGAAAAGTAGATGACCTGAGTCTGATTTTTATGTTTCAGTGCTTCAGTTCCTTCAACGTCAGAGTCGCTTTATGACAGGCGGTTTACCGCCAATTAGTTCATCTTGGCATTAAGCTCTTTGATGCCCACAATCACAGATTTTTTTTAACTGAATCCTTGCAGTCATAGTTTGTATGTAAAATCCCCTTACGAGAAGCTGTGTTTGTCTTTTATGAATTTGCTAGGCCATGTGTTAAGTGTGCATATTGCACGTATAGCATGTTATTGAAAATTCTTCCTTTTACACTATAAAACAGTTCCTCTGTCAGTACAGGCTTTGCAAAGGTCATGCCTTTCTGATGTATCTTATGCTACAGTGGCAGCTTAGTCACTGGAGCGGTCATTAGCTTGATCACCGCCAAGTTTAAGCCTCACATTTTTTGTTTCTGGCTTCGCCTTGTCCTCTACCGCAAACATGTTCATTCTCATAATTTTATATGACTTCTGCTATATGGCTTCCAGGCTTTCTGTGAAGGGTAGCAGGTATTCCTGGGCCACCATGAATATCCGTCACAAGGGTTCCAATTTGTTGCTGCAGAAACATGTTTACCACACTGTCTCATATCAACAGCTTCCTCTATTTTATTCCACTGTTCCGGCTTTTAGATGTTAAGTCACAGTATTTATGAACAAAATACACGCACATTACAGCATTTCTTATTTTGGCTAATACATTGAAAATAATATAATACTGTTTGTGGCCTTTGGGCTCAAACCATTCGTGTATTAGCATGCTTGTAGTAATTGCCTGATGAAGACCCAGTACTGATTCGACAAATTGTATAATAAAATGATCTTCCAGGATGTATCACGGTATAATATGATAGGTAAGGTACCTGTGTCTGGGGGGAATGCGCTGCCTCCATGTTAGTGTTGAAGTGAGCAAAGTTGGGATAATGATACATTATGTAGATGCAGGAAGAAAGGCAACAGGTCAACATGGAAATGGTGAATCTGAACCTGGGGTGGAGGGAAGAAGGATGGGACCCAGGCACACAAATGGGAATTATAGACTGTGAAAAGGGGCAATTACTCTAGAGTGAGGAAGGAGGTGTATTAGGTGTATTTTTTTCGCAGTGTAGAAAAATAACAGATGTACCAATTTGGGCAAGGACAAGAAGTTGCACATGTTCCAGCAAGGAGATCACCTATTGTGAAAAGGAAAGTGCTATTGTATGCCTGCACAGACACAGAAGGATGAGAAATTGAGTCTTTGGCAAGTAGAGAAGGCAAAGGTCATGAAGGGAAACCACAGGCTGTGAATAGGGCAGTTATTGCAGAGGCCTTGAAAATTACACTTTCAAGAGAGCCTTTTGAAGGCAGGACTCTCAAGGTGTTAGGGTTAGATAAACATAGTACAGCAAATAAATTATTACCCTTCCCTGCCCTCTTGTCTGTCACTTGAGATCTTCATTTGGGATAGGGAAGTAATAGCAAAGACAATGGTACTGTAGAAATAAGTAGACGTTAACAAATAAGTACCACAGAAAAATTACAAGTCTGTGACATACAGAGTGAGCCCTTGTATTTGAACAAAAAGTGATTACTGATATTGATGTGGTTGAAAGTCCACAGTGTCACAGATTGTAGGGACTAAGGTCTAATTACAGTGTAATAAATAACAGAATACAAATAATATGAGTACAAATTAAATCATGGGAGCTGGGATAGCACAGTCAGTATAGTGCAATAGAGCTCTGTTATGCATTGATTGTAACACTGGACTATTTTAGTATCTTTACTGAACCAATAGTATGTATGTATTGTATGTATTATGTTAGGGGGTGGGTTTCCCCATGCACTTAGACCAGTTATTGGTCCATTGTGCATCCCCCTTTAATTTCTACTGTCGCCATACCCTACCAGTAACGGTGGGTGCCATCAGCCCCCGTAGAGCCAACGAGTTCGGCCCTCAGTACCTTGATGCTTCCCCCATCCACCAGAGTCATTGGAGACTACTTGGGTGGGAAAGGGCCTGTAGTTTAGCTCAGAGGTCTCCTAAAGACATGAGATTCTTTTACGTGCCGTAAATCTGCAACACGGGACACACAGCTTAAAGTCCCTCCCAGAGGACTTGTTCCCTGAATTTTTCCACCCTTAAAAATTCCATGACCTCCGCCGGGTTTGAACCCGCGTACCTTGAGTCATGAGGTGGGAACGTTACCCCTAGACTACGGCGGCCGCTGAACCAAAAGTAACTGGCCAAGTATTGTTCTGTTCACAGCTGGTAAACCTTTTATCCACAACTATGTTATTTCTCTTTGTTTATATTTATTCCCTCACACTTCCTGTCACCAAATAATGTTGTACTGTGGCCTGTTGCCATATTTTGCTATCAAAGCGGTTCCTGCAATATATTTATGTGACTTGTGAGTGTAGAACATGATGCTTATACTTAAGGTATGTAATTAAAATTCACTGTATACATTTTTCAGAACATGTAATTTCCAAAGTTGTATGTTCTTTTCCTAATGTGTGTACAGTGTACTACTGCTCTTTATTCATAGTTGAAGTAGAATGGTGGAAACTGAAGGGGAGCAGTTTTCATTTTGCTGGAACAACTTCCACAGTAACTTGACTTCTGGGATCAATGCACTTCTGCAGGGAGAAGATCTAGTCGATGTCACGCTTGCAGCTGCTGGACAGTTTGTACAAGCACATAAAATTGTCCTGTCTGTATGCAGTCCATACTTCAAGGAACTTTTTAAAGTGAGTAAGAGAAAATATTTAGGAAATTATTGAAGTACTTAACCATGGTCTTAACAGTTCTCAATTTCTTCTTTTCATGCATCTGCTACTTTCACTCTTTCTGGCTAGAGACTGAGATTGACATGTCTTGGTGAGTTTTTAGTGAGCATTTCAGTAGTTCACTCACTCACACATGCACCACTCTCACTCACTAAGTTAGTCAGTCATGGAGCTGAGCCCTTGTTGAGAAGACACCAATTTTGCAGCTACTCAAGAACTTCCCAGCATTTTATGAGACCTGAAGGTTCGTTACCGTGTTCACAAAAGCCCTCCACTCGTTCCATACCATCCCATCCTATCTCTCTAAGATCAGTTTTAATATTATCCACCCACCTATGCCTTGGTCTTCCCAGTGGTCTCTCTCCATCCGACTTTCCCACCAATATCCTATATGCATTCCTCTTCTCCCCCATTCATGCTACATGCCCTGCCCAAGTCATCCTCCTTGACTTGATCATTCTAATTATACTTGGAGGAGAGTACAAGTTATGAAGGTGCTCAGTATGCAGTTTTCCCCAACCTTCTGTCACTTCATCTGTCTTCGGTCCAAAATATTCTGAAAACCCTCAGTTGGCGTTTCAGTAATTACACATGTTTTTCAGTACAGCTTCTATGCTTACTGAAAACTGAAATTGTCAAAGTGTTTGGAAAGATGTGAATAGTAGCATTGAATTCTCCTAGATGCAAATCAGTTCACTCTGTCTTCAGTAGTCTACACGTTTACAGTCGGGGAGCTATGTATCACAGTATCACACACTCCCAGTTACACAATCACACACACGTCCGGATCTTCTTTCCGCAACGGCTGCTATACCCCAACAGTAGTCGGCTGACTGGAGAACTCTTGATAACACACTCGGCGACTGTCACAGTACAACTGAAGTCGCCGACTGCTACAGTAGAACTGACTGGTACCAGCTGTGCAGCTCACTTATATAGCTGCAGTGCTTGCCGGTTGCATAATGAGTGCCACGTCACAGTAGGAAGTTGATTACGGGTACGCAGCGTTGCGCGTTATGTCACCGCGGAGGGGAGTGGCGGGGCGGGAACTCGCCTATTACCGTAGTAACGCGAGCGTTACGTTACCGCCACGTACCGCTGGGGAGGTAAGGGTGATCCATAGCTCAACATGTCACAATATTGTAGGTGTCAGCATGAAATTTTTGTTCGACTGTATGAGCTAGAACCCTAAGAATTTTTCAGCCCTACTACTAATGAACTGGAAGAATTAAAAGGACCTTTTCAGGTATCTTGTGTATAGGCAAATAAGTTGAAAAATTAATTTCCATGTATGGGGCTTGTAAAAATATGTGGCCGAACTAGCACCTACAGGTCAAAGAAAGTTGGCAGTGGTATGAAATTAATTTTGGTGCAAGTACAATCAGCATAAATGTCTTTGTACTTCTCTGGGGCGTCTTGTGCTCTACAATATGGGGAACAAAAAATAATTGTTTTCATGACTTTTTGAAGTTCATTGTTTATTGGTACTGTCAGTATTGAGACTAAAATGATGGTTTTTAAAATGGTTTACCCAACAAATCAATAAATAGCCTTCCTTGCCAACAAGACAGGCCTTATCCAAAGAGAGAAAAAATATTAGCCTGGTGATTTATATGCCCTTCTGCTGAGCAAGAAAATGGAATAACCATTGTCAGTGATCTTGAGATGATCTCCTACTCCTCCATGGAGTTGAGCTCTTGAGAAACTGCCAATTGAGTGGTTACTCAAGAAATTCCCAGCATTTTATGGAACCTGAAAGTTCACATTACTGTGGTCTTCCTAGTGGTCTCTTACCTTCTACCTTTCCCACCAGTATCCTATATGCATTCCTCTTCGCTCCCATTCATGCTACATGCCCTTCCCATCACACCTTCCTCTACTTGAAGGTTCTAATTACACTTGGCAAAGAGTACATGTTGTGAAGCTCCTCATTATGCTGTTTTCTCTAACCTCCTGTCACTTCATCTCTCTCTTCAATCCAAATATTCTCCTCAGCACCCTGTTCAAGCTTATTTTTTATAATGAGTTATTAGCCCCACATTCAAACCCGAAGATGGAGAACTGCCCTTTCTCGGCTGTCTGCCACTGCTTATTCAATATATTTGCAGCTACCTTCCATATCTGGAGCCTGTCTCCTCGATCCGCAACCTGAGGATGTGCCATGGTATAGTGAAAGGGACCCAGCTAACATGGTTGAGATAATTGGATGGTAAAAGTTTCATTGATAGGCCACTTTTTAAACGAAGCAGTTTCAAATTTCTTTGATACATTGATATATCACATTTCAATTACGCAAGAGTGTAGATAATGCAGTTTACTTTCATATCTGATAGGTTCTCAAATTTCCCCAAATGTGGGTATGCCATTGGAGAAGGTAGAGAGTATGCTTGTACTGCCTGTAGAAGAGTATTTCAAATGAACAGTTCTTTTGCTATAAAATATGTCTATTTCTTCACAATACAAGTAACTCACATTATGTCCATATAAATAATGCTTTCTGAGTACTTGTCTTCCATTAAATTAAGTATACCATATTGCCATCAAATTTTTGTTGTTTTTATGCCCAAGTTTGTGCTGCACATTACTCCTCATTTTCATTAAGAAAGTGGGTTCCACTGAGTGTCACTTTTGAGGGCCCAGAGATGTGATAATCACATATTGTGAGATCTGGTGATTACAGTGGTGTGGGAGGACTTTTGTGGTGGGTTGTTTGAGTGGTGCAGTTGTTGTTTGAGAAGTACGCAAACACAGGTTGTGCTGCTGCAAGAAGATGCCTGTTATCTGTAATACATATCTTTGCCTAATTTCTGGCATCAAGGTTCCTCAGAAACTTGCAATATATTTTGCTGTTTATTGCGGATCCCGTCTGCAGGAACCATCTCACTGTGATGTACACAGAATGTAATATTTCACTGGGCATGGAAACTCTACATTTTGCCATGGGATTTTAAACAGCATACGTATGTAAATATTATGATCTTCCTGTTTATCATATTGAAAAAATGAAAATATGGCTGCATTAAATTAAAGAAAAATAACATGAAATTAGCAGTGGGTATCTGAGAACAATATCTGTTGAGGATATGTTGATTGTGAAGTTGGAAAAATGTAAGCATAAAATGTAGAAAGAGGGAGATGAATGGGGGTTTCATTATATCATTATATTTGTTGCTCACAGGTAAATCCATGCAGACATCCCATAGTTATCTTGAAGGATGTGGGTCACAAGGAGCTGGTCGCTATCTTGCAGTTTATGTACCAAGGAGAGGTTAATGTACAGCAGGAGGAACTGTCTGCTTTCCTCAAGATGGCAGAAATGCTGCAGATCAAAGGACTCACTGGAGATGACTCACCATCAATGGTAGGTATCTTGTTATTGTGTTACCCAAGGGATAGCCATTAATATAAATGTTGGTTATGCATGTTCAAAACAAATAGACTTTTATCCCTATCTTTCATTTTCTTTTATGCGTGAAGGTTCTGTATGTAATATACGTGCAGTACTGTCTAAACGTCTAGTGCGTTAAGGCCCTTTTCGTTGGGCATACTCCTTCTTACCGTCCTTCTTCGGCAGTCCTCTGAAGAGCCCTTTGGTTGCTGGTTGCATCTGCTCCTCTAGCTGTTCCCTCTCACCTGTGGTTACTTAGAGTTGGCAGGTTGCTGCTGCGTCCTTCCTATCCAGTTGTGTTTCCCTTTTTGTTGTTCTGGTGGATAATAGTTTGCGGGGTATGGGTTATTGGCATGCTGGGCGCCAGTAAGCTTACTGTAACGGCTTACATTTCGGGGAAAAGGGGGATGAACTGGAAACTACAGGTGCTAGGTACCGCGTTCTCACTGGAGTGATGAGATTCGGTCTCAGGGCGAATACGGGCCTCGCGTCAGCGGGAAAGAGAAGAGTGTTTTAGGTAGGCACTAATACACACTGTTTAATTAGCCAATCTTGCTACACATGTACATGTATCAGCACTTGTTGCACTTCCTTAAAACACCTGGAAATCTCTCCAACGTTGGCAACCGGATCCCTGGCTAGTTAGTTAGCGGCTGTTACTTTTAGCACAAACCCTAGAATTGCACTTTCACTTATACTTTTAGCACAAAGAAAATGTCACGTTAAATTTAGAAGAGTTATCCAGAGATTGTTCCTGCA